TATTTCGGTAAATCGTTTTAGTGTATCTTGATAATATTTGTTATTTGTATATAAAACAGGCAGTACTGTATTATGGCAGTGCTTTTGGGTAATATTTTCAATGTGTTTTTAAAGGATTTCCTTTCAATTTCAAGGTGTTTTCACTTTTCGGTAAGTTTTTTTTCCATTTATTACGGATAAGTTGGACGAAATTAAAAAATCTGACCATATAGTCGATTGGTTGCTGACAAATAATTTCAAGTCTTTATCTTATGATAATAAATTTCACATTATTAAAACTCTGGGAAGGCGTCAACCAAATTTGAATTCAATTAAAGCGTCAGATAATCGACAAAATCGAAGATTTAATATTAGGTGGTACGATAAATGCGATTGGTTAACCGGCTCCATTAAACGAGAAAAACTTTTTTGTCGGCCCTGTGTTTTATTTTCCGTACAAACCGAATACCAAACGTGGTCTAAAATAGGATACTCCAATTTAAAAAATTTACCTCGTTCTACAACATTTTAAATCTGAGGAGCATATTTTCGTCTTGTAAATTAAAATTGTTTAGCAAACACATGTTCTCCAATGCACGAGCCGTCACTGGCAGTAATAGTGTTTATGAACGCATTGTTTGACCTTGGTTTGCGAAATTTCGTTCCGGGGATATTAGCCTCGATAGTGAGCCCCGAAGTGGTCGACCTACAGTAATCCAGGACGAAGATTTGAAGACCCTGGTGGAGACTGACCCATCACAAATCGTGCGTGGGATGGCGGAAAAACTGGGCGTCAGCTCCCATGCGGTTGTTGATGGTTTGAAACGTATAGGGATGATCAAAAAGCTCAAAATGTGGAAGCCCCACAACTGAACGAGCGATAGGTCTGTTCTTTGTTCTTGCGCAAACAAAACGATCCTATTTTGGATCGGATCAACACGTGTGATGAAAACTGGATCCTCCACGACACTATATAACTTTCTGAAACCATGCTAAACCATCACAACAGAGTCCAATTCTGAAGAAACCGACGGAATGTGATTTTACAAAAAATTTTTGGAAGAGTATGGTGTCGTGAATAAATTGAAACATTAATTTCATTTTTAGATACTGCTTTGACCATTCTGCAGATTAATTTTTTCTCCACCAGGTAGGCAACCACTTTACAATCTTTGGTAGCGATATGAATTGTCGGAATTTGGCCAAAATTAACCCTTGAGGTGTTGAAAAGGACGATAGACACTTTTATTAAACTTTGATGCTTGAGGATACCTAAAAAAGTGTTGAAAAGGGGTCATTATATCCTTTCATGGTTCGAAAAAGCTCGAAAGCTCGGCCGTACTCAAAAACCTACGGCTCATGCTCGGACTCGAGTAAATGCGGCTCGGTTCGCATTGTAACTCGGTATTGAATACTTCCCCATCTATCTGGGACTAAATAAGTGGTAATTCCTTGTGAACAATATATATTTCTGTCACACATGAAGATTAGGCACAAACATGTACATTTAAAGGAGCTGTATGCATATTTTTTCGGAAAATGCGATTTATGAAACTAAAGTTCCATTGTTGAAAGTCTTGCGATTTATTTCCTGAAGACTGATTAGCATTAGATATTATATCAAGATTAATATTTATACACATACATTTTTTTGATACACATACCATTCTATTTGAGGGCTCATTACAATGAGTGACATACATATATACATACACATTACATACATACTATTCTGGTCATTCTCATATTGATTTCAATTCAAGAACCACCGGTAGACAGCTGTTTCATCCTGTTGGACATCGTCAGTACTGGGCAGGCGGTCCTTGATTGGTGAATAATCAAGAAAAGTGCTTGGTAAAAATAACTGCGTAAACGCAAGCGAGACATAAGTAAAACCACCTGTTGGTGTCACAACTAAGTCAACTTGCCATGTTTTTATGTCAGTGTTGGTGGTTTGACCAATCAACCGACAACTGCGGTAGCGGAAATTTGGGAAGCTAACCTGTAATGCCATTACAGTCTGTTGGAAAAAAAAGAAGGATGAGAATCAAAATGACTCATCCCGGATATTCTTGTTTTTCTTTCTGATATTTTGATGCCTTTTTCAGAATTGAAAACACACTTTTTTGTTTTCATTTCAAACTGTGACGTAGTGTAAAAAGTATTTTTGTTGGGTGTTGTTGAAAATGATACGTAGGGTTGAAACAAACACGATTTATTATCCACTGTTTCTCGAACTTTTACATAACATACCGTTTACAGTAATTACTCTAATATTTACTGAGTTATTGATAACAAGATATACACTGTAGATACTTTTAAAGTACGAACTATACGTCATACATAGGAACGAAAGAAACAATACAGTTATAAATAGTCAAATAAACTTTCTACAACAAAAATGTAACAAAACACAAATTGACTTGTGTTTCACCATTATTCAATAACTATTTTATTACCTAAAAGCACACGAAGGAATTTTTATGTACAACTTCATAAAATTATTTACAATTTATACATGTCTGAGTATTTCTTGTTTTATGGCAATATCTACCCACACGATCAAGGACATACCAGTATAATCTGAAAGAATTAATGAGAAGATTAATTTTTTCATTATGGGTATGTTCAAAAATGGGAAAATTCTTTCATCTGTGAGCTCTGTGGCCGTTTCAGATTCAATAAGAAATGACGGTTTGTGCCACAATTCAAAACAAATACTGTATTATATAATCATGATTGGATGATGTTACTTGTAAAATCAATTGCTGAATGAGAGCTCCCATGGGATTAACATTGTACCAACTTTTCAAAAACGAAAGTACACCGTTGAACATTTTTGTGAAAGTACGAATGTATTACAAAATAAATGATCAGTTCAACAAAAAACAGTGTGTTACCAATACAATTCAAGTAATTATTTGAAACATATTTGGAATTCTACTGAACTGAGTCGTAATTTTACAGTCATCATTGAATAAATTTTCTCAAATAGAGTTGAAATAAATCGTGAAGTGAATTCACAGAACGTGATTTCATTATTGAAAAAATATTATGCGTTAAAACTTTTAATGCTTTTTTTGTTGAATTACTATAAAAATTTTCAACGGTGTAAAAGATTAGTTGATGAAGCAGCCATAAAACCTAGGGACGTAGTAAATCAATCAACGTGTTTTCACAATTATGTCGATACAAGTTGATTCAATTTTTTTATTAATCAAGTATTTCAATTATTCTTTATTAAGTTGCACTTTTCAGCTAAGCACCTTGTGATACACGACATTTTTTGTTCTGTTATCCAGGCGCAAGTATTAACAACGCGCAGATGGTCTTGCGACCCGTGAACATGCCATATATAATTGACCATGTGAAAAACATTGATTTTTCAGATTCAGACCACAAACTTTCAAGGATTGGCCTTGTGATTTGTTAATAGTCGTAGCAAATGCAAGACGAATTGGAAACTTAAGTCTCAAACGGCATATCGGTTGGGATCATCGGGATCCTCGAAATGAGAACTTCCTCACCTTCAAATTTTCCTTTGAGTCTTGTCGCGTAAATCACGTTGTTCATCAATTTATTCAGCACCAAACGTATATCTTTTAGCGGGTTTATGTTTCGAAGCATGATTACTACGGAGCCAACCTTCAGGCGTAAATTGTGCGTAAGCCAGGCACATCTGAGGAGTTTAAAAATTCAATTGGATAGTTGGTGGCTTCATCTTCATTTGTTACACAGTCAATTGATTTGAATGGATGCATTGTTCCAATGATATCATTCAAAATTAGGTAGTTTAGGTCATCTACATCTTTATTCTTAGCCGCTAAAATTGCTCGCTCACTCAACCATTCATTATTTTTGTAGTTAGTAATTATATTTGGGAATACTTTGCTGATAAGTTCGTCTTCCGATGAGACAAAGTTACAGAAATTCTGAGGAAATGAAATCAATCCGCTGGATTCGTCGACCGGTACTCGACCATTACCGATAGTCAGCAATTGCTCAGAGAAATCTTCAGCAGATGTATCATTCAGCAATGCAACTCTCATGTTTGTTGTCAGCTGAGGTTTCTTCACAGCGCCATAGCGCCATAGATTCGATGATTTGATGGAAGCGTGTATTTCGTCGGCAGCCGTTGATCTTTGAATTACTGGCAGTGTTTGGCGGAAATAGCCAGACAGTAAAATCATTGCACCTCCAAAACATCTCGAGACATTGCGTAGATCTTTAAATGTTCGGTTGAGTGCTTCTAATGCACGTTTGTGCGCCATTGTGCATTCGTCCCATATGATGATTTTCGATGCTGACAAAAATTTGGCCATTGCCGAGTTTTTTTTAAATATTACATGTTGGTTCTTCATTAGTTTGAAGATTTAACGAAAATTTTAATGCTGAATGAGCTGTACGACATCCTTCTAACAATGTGGCTGCTATTCCAGAAGAAGCAACTGCAAGCGCAATGTTGGATCTCGCCCGAACACTAGCTAAAACTAATGACATCAAGAATGTCTTACCAGTTATAATTGTCAAATTTTTTACCATATTGGAACATCTATTTCTATTGTTTTTCAACGGTAATCCAGGTTATATAAATAACTGGGGAGCATTTATGTACATCAACGATCAGTCAAAATCGTTTCACGAAATTAAAATGTTTTTATTCAATTCGATGGCTGTTGTAAAATCAACAGTTTGATAATCAACATTTTTTTTCTGATTGATGAAAATTCATAGTAATTCCATAAACTACAAACCGCAAGGTGTAGTTTATGAAATGACAATTAGCAATCCCACAACGATTTTCATACATCTTGAAAAAAAAAACTAACGCGTCCTACTGGGTATTTCAGTATCAACGTAAACCCAGTATATCATTATTCATCATCATGCAGATTAATTAATGAATACTATTTTGCAATACAATATTGAATGAGATGCCTTCGTTTGGCAATGCATCGATTCCTTTTTTTGCAAATATTATTTCAATAACTTCTTCATCCCAAAAATTCTAATGCAATATTCATTTCTCGGTCAATAATGTTGGCTGATATTGCCAAAATGTATCAAGATGTGTTGATATCAGTACGAATGAGGAACTTTCGAGAAAAGTTCAACACTCTGTATTTTGAAAACAATGCATGAAATTAGTTTCTGAACACGTTCTGAATTTTTTTAAAGCAGATAAAAAGTTTCCGCTGAATCAAAAACATTAAAAGCAGTACCATGTTTCCGACACTGCCAGTAAAGCAAAATTGCTAGATCATCAAAATCAGGTAAAATAATGAATGGTAAAGTAAATATCGCCATTAAACATCATTCATTCAAAATAACGCATCGACCAGAGACCGCACACTTACACACATTTGACGAAAATAAAAATCACAGAATAAAACTATGGAGCTCTCGAACATGAACCTTGGGACATCCCTACTATCCTAACCGAACTCGATCTAATTATTGCAGACCCACAGAGCCTTAAAGGTATCCGCGTATCCTGCCAAATCGCCAACAAATACCAAATTTATTCACTAATATCACGTTCACATCCTATCTGGTCAAAACAAAACAGTCAATGGTCTCCTAAACTCGGGACCAGGAGATTGCGTCGGGTACTGACCGGGGTACTGTGACATGGGCAGCAACCCACCAGCACCCTGCTGCATGGCGCTAGGAGGGTAGTACCCCTGCAGAGCTCCAGGAGAGGCCCCAGCAGAAGAGGTCGTCGTCGAACTCGAAGAAGAAGTGCCTTCGAGCCTGTCTTGGTTTGGTTTGTTGTCGGGAGAGTCCGAAGACCTGGGAGAGCTTAAAGAAGCTTGGTGGTTCTGCTGCTGCTGCTGCTGATGGTCTGCATACATTTTGCCGATGTCCAGGCTGGGGTAGGACCGTGAGGAGTCGGGGTTGTATTTGTTGGCGTCCATATACATTTTTGAAGATTCGAAGTAGGCCTTTGTTAGGGCTGACGTGGAGTCTAAATAGCCGCGCTCGAGGTAGCTCTTCGAAGGGGCGTCCATGTATTTGGGGTCCGAGTACATCGAGATGGCGAGGGATGAGGAGGGCATGTAGGGAGATCGGTATTTGTCCGCTTCCATGGAGTATTTCATAGCATCCATTGAGGATACCACCTGGAACAAATGATATCGTTGATAAATTGTAAGGTATTGATAATGAATATGATAATTTTATTAATGGTCAGTTATATCACTGAGATTGTGATTTTTCAATATTCGTTGTAATTGCTAAGGTCAATATTTTCATTAAATCAGATGTCGAGTTCATGTTGGGGCCAGTCCAATAATTCTAACTTATCGCAAAGATTTGTAGAATTACCAATTATCAGTGCAATCATTCCTCGGCGAAGGAATAGTTTTTCTCATAAATTACTGGACACTTCGCCTTCATTATTCTCGCATGAGTCTCTTAAATACTTCTGAGAATTACGCAGTTAACAATAAAATTATTTTGAAAATATTTTCGATGTACTGGCTTCGATAATGGCTTTGGAACTATTTTCTACTATTCAAGTGTTGAAAATCTTCTTATGACCCAGTTTATTTTGCGTTTTTTTTCTGCTGCACAACTCAAGCAGCCAATCTATATGTGAACCATTTTCTGCTTCACAGGTACCTTATGAAATAACAAAAAATGCAATAAACTGGACCATCTACTATATTATTTGCGACACGACCAAAGAAATTCTTTCCTTGACAATAAAATTCACATAGCAGACCAAATAACCAGAATGTAAAATTTCACGGCCGGAGATAACTGTGTGAAAGCTAATTTTCGGGTTTTTTGACCGTGGTCTGCAGGTTTGTATGCCTGACATTTCGTCTACTACTGCGGTAGACATTAAAAATAGATGTGGTAACGGTAGCAGTGGTGCTCGAGTTCTTGTTCCCGTAGTTTCGAACGCATTTACTACGACGCTGGTATTTGACTCTGCTTTTATATTCTTATTACTGGGTGTGTAAGGACAGGTAGCCAGATTTTATTGATGTTCATTGCCTCTTCTTTTCTATTGAAATTACCAGGGTTCTAAATAACCGAAGCAGAACTGAGTTGGACATTTACAAGCCATGTAAAGTGTACGGCCAGAGTTAGTATTACGGAAGTCGTGACAAGTCCTGATCAAAAATCCAAGAGCTCAGTTGGCTTTTTTGCCATATAATTAATATGAGAGTCAAATATAATACTTCTTAGTCCTTGACTTCAGATGTTTTCATCAGTTGCTGTCTGTTTATGTGGTATTGGTGCTGGTAAATATTTTTGTTTTTTGTAAGTGTAATAGAGTGGCATTTTTCATGATCAAGGAATAAAGAGTTTTTCTCGCAGATGTTTACTAGAGTATTGATGTTGTTGTGAATGAGGAGAGAATCGTTGGAACATGACACAGTATGGAATACTTTCGAGTCGTCAGCATACATTAAAAAATCGCAGTAGGAGAAACAACTAGATATATCGTTAATATAAATGTTGGAGAGGAGAGGCCCCAGATGGGAGCCTTGAGAGACTCCGGAAGTAATATTAATAAATCTATAACAAAATTTTCCTAGAGTGACTGCCCGAGACCTATTTGTAATATACGATTGAAACCATCTTAGCAGATCACCCTGTATACCAATTTCCGCCATCTTGTCGAGTAAAGTTGCATGATCTATCTTGTCAAATGCCGTGCTGAAATCGGTATAGATGGCATCAACCTGGTAGCCTATATCAATGCTCTTCAAGAGATATTCAATATAGAAAAATAAATTTGTTTCAATCGAGCGATGTTTTACGAATCCATGCTGTTCATTATTGATTGAGGATCCAACATCAAAGTATATATAGTCACGAATGTATGATTCAAAAAGTTTGGAAATCAAGCCGAGTTTCAATATAGGGCAATAGTTTTCAAAACAATAACTATTTACCACTTTTGAAGATGGGAAGTGTAGTTTTCCATTATTTGGGAAAGAGTCTTCTTTGATAGACTTATTAAATAAAATAAATAGGATATGAGACATTTCTGAGGAAGACCTTAGATCTGATAGTTTTTGTTGGCCTACATATTGGTATCACGTCGTGTCTCTCTAATTCTCTCAATCCAACTTTGGGTTACTTTGACGTTCTTTCTCCTGTGTCATATGGCTCGCTCCAATTCCCCTCCGCTGTATCCATTTCCTTTGAAGGCATTTTTAGGTGAATGAGTTCGTCAGGAAGATTCTCAAGTTCACAAATCGGACGTGATCTCTCAAACAACGTTTCAATAACCCCCCTTCTTGTTGCAGGTACCTGTCTGTACAGGTACCTGGTTTCCTGGATATTCTGTGGCCAAATGTACCACCTTCACAAGAACATTCAAGAAGGCTAAAGTTCCTGGGACTTCTTGGTTCATTGTGAATTGGATTGTTGGGCCGAAAGAGTTCAGATTAATGGAAATTCGCCATAGCACGAACATGTCATCATGAAAACGAACGAAATGAAAAAACATTTTTGGAAAATCTTTTGAAGTGTCCTACATTCCTAAATTATTAGAAAATACAGTTATTTTCTATCCTTACAATTTTCTGAAGATACCGTTGAACGTAACATCTTCCTTCTTTTTGAATCCTTTTTCAATCAGAAATTAGAAATTCAGACCAGGCAACTACAAACATCCTTCATTTCAAAAGACTTATCGCTGTCTCCTAAAAACGTCGCGTTCACCAAATTTGGTAAATACAGTGGCCATCAACATCAATAAACCTTCTAATTGATCACCAGATATGACCAACGGAGAATATAAACCGGTGGATTTTATAATCGAACACCCCACATTCGTATCTCGATGGCCAACACAAATCAATGGTTGTTTTTCTCGTAAAAAGAGAGAGGTCCCAGAGGCAGAGCAGTCACAAACAGGCCGCTAATCCTGATTTAATAATCTTTGTCCGCATATCCCGGTGACAGCATCCACTTCCAATCACACCTTACCGGGTGACTCCCTCGACTTGGAGCTACACCTCATTTGAATAACAACGACGGGATAAATTGTCCCAGACAGAGGCGGAGGTGAACTTATTTTGAGGGGGATGCGTAACGTTATAATTGTCTCTATTTAAAAAATACGATAACTAATAACTTCAGTCAAATAATTTCTTGAATTGAGAGAATTTAGTTTGTTCCGTATATTGATTTTATGATAAATGAAAGGTATCACTAGAATCTTTGGATTGAAAATGTATTTTTACAAAAAGGGAAGTGGCAAGAAAATGCCAATACATGAATAAATGAATGTCAGGTTTCTTGGATGAAATCAGAGTTTCTTTTGACAATTGAATTCTTTTATATTTTTTCGGATTGTGGAAGGTGAAAATGACAAAAAAAGGACGATAAAACAATAATAATTGAGGTCGAATGGTACATGTTCTAAAAACTTGGATTATTAAAGAAGTATTTTCTGAAAAGAATAATGTTAGACTCTTTTTTCGATTTTCTGAATGAGCGATTACAGAACAGAACACTTTCATAGATGAAAACACTACTGAATAGCCAAAAAGGGGATTTTGGATGTTCATAAGAGCTGCAACTCAACATTCTAGATACACATACAAAAAATGTGATACTGTACTTCTAGTAACATAAATTTATAACAGAACAGAACACTTTCATAGATGAAAACACTACTGACTAGCCAAAAAGGGGATTTTGGATGTTCATAAGAGCTGCAACTCAACATTCTAGATATACATACAAAAAATGTGATACTGTACTTCTAGTAACATAAATTTATAAAATTTTGCAATTATTTAGTTATTTTCAAAATTCTAACTTCGGATTTGAAATTTTTCACTCCAAAATATTTTCTGATGCCAGTTTTTGATGAGAAACGAGTTTTGTTATTTTATGTACGATTTTTTAATACACTTTTGAATCCAAGGTCAAAATTAAGTACATTATCAACTCATTGACATCCAGTTTTTTTAACATCTATGGGTCTATGGTTAACCTTCCATAAATTACACTATAAGAAATATTTAAAATTAGACTTCTCTATTAAATTTGTCACGATTAACAGCGTTTGGAATTGTTTTTGACAGTTATCAACAGAATGATGATTTGATGACATATTCTATAATATGATATCCATTTTTTCATTTCTCTTCTCATTCACAACCAATTACGATCCACTTCGTCGGAGTAAAATGGACAAAATAAACAAAATAATGGCTGAGAAATAATGCTACGCCCCTGTGACATCTCATTTAAATAACAACGCTTGGATAAATTGTTTCATATCATAGTTATATATATTTGGTTATTCGAGGCACATTGTGAGTTCCCCCTTGTTGTTCTTTTACTTTTATCTCATACTTACAATGTTTTGCTTGAATTATATTAAATAAATTGTCATATTTCGCTTAAAATGAATAAAATCTAAATTCATTTCTTTATGCAAGAGATGGTAGTAAAATATTGCTAAGACGACTTTTTAAACACTTCAAACAATGTTCTTATTAGTCGATGGGCTATGCTTAAAGACATGCAGAAAACAATAACTTCACTAATACCACGAATACGCCTATCGGATATAATCCAACACCGTTCGTGGTATTAGCCAGTGGAGTAGTTGTTTTCTGATAGGCGTAAGTCCATTCAACCTACTGTGTAGGTATATCCGAGACTTACTTGAACATAACATTTCTTTAGACTTGAAACAAGATAGAGCAAAGTGAAGAATTGCTTAATATAATTGTTATTTTCAGCTATTCATTTTCATTTTTTTTTAGTTGTTTCAGGGATTCCAAATCATTTTATATATTAGACAATGGAAGTCCGAACTAGTGAAATCCATCATGAAACATTGTCAATCACCTTCAAACAAAAGTGAAGAATGTGCTAATTTTAAACTGGGACTCGAAGGTCTTCATTTTGCAGAAGTCAGTATTTCGATTAATCAATTGAACTCAGCTCAATCAGCCTTGAAATGGTGAAGAAAATGATGAAGTAGAATATCGTTCAAGGCAGTTTGTGATTTCATGAAATGGCATGTCCTCCAGTCACAATTAAATAATAACATTATTGAAATCTCAGCTTAGGTAGCCTCAAAATGATGAAGCATATGATGAGGTAGAACTTCGCTTGAGGCCGTTTGTGATTT